AACTTTCTTGTTTGTTTTTCATCTTTTTTAATAAAATGTTCTTTAATTTAGTTTCATTCTTAAGAGTGCATGTTTTAAAATAAAAATTAAAAATTTTTTTACTTTTGCATTTTATTATTTATAATTGCATAGATAAAAATGATGTAAAAACCTGTTTAACTTACAATTCTCAATCTGTTGATAGTTATTAAGTTAAATAGCAAAATTTAGAAATATATATATATATATATATATATATATATNTAAATAAAGTAATAAAAATTAAAAAATATTTAATAAACGTTATTTCTTTATTATCTTTAGACACATATCTTTGGACAAATGATTTTTATAATTGAGTGCAAATTTTTTTCTATCCACTTAAAAGGTTTTCGAGATATAGCAAAATACGCAAAAAGAAAAATTAACATTAGGAGTCCAAACTTTGGACAACTCTCCTGACCAAACTATTGGCACCATATTTCAAAGAATGTGGTTACCCCCTATATTTTGAGGATCAGATATCCAAATCCAGAGAAAATAAGGTATTTTTATGCAGAGAAAAGTGCGTTTCTGTTTATGATTTCATAACTTAAAAAATTGTCTGCGCTGGTTGGAGGTCACCCTCTCGGGTCATTAAGTTTCAGTACTAGAACGTGAAGATCCGATCATTTGATTAAAAGTTAATCAGAGTGGTCCATTTTTTGAGCACTGTACATTTTAACACAAATTTTGATTACGAAAATAATTCTAAGAAATAGAAGCGGTAAGATATAACATGATAAAAAACTTCATTTTCTTTGTTAAAAAGCAAACAAACAAAAAAGCTTTTATGTATATTGTACAAATCTCAAAAAAATAAACAGACCACCCTGATTAACTTTTGCCTGGATGTATATATATATATATATATATGTAATACAAAAGTTATAAAAATACTTTTGTATTAATAAAACCATTGAAACTTTTTCGTGTTCATAAAATGCAGATACTCTATTTTGGGACTTCAAGGCTAAAAACATGCCAATGAATAATAATTAGATTTATATTTCAAAAGAGAAGTTATTTTAAGATTGTTCATTTCCATATAAGGAAAGATTAAACGATTTTCTATGAGAAATAAATAATTTTGATGAGGCGTAAGAATACAGAAAAGGCAATATGACTGGCCTCTTCGCACTTTTTAATCATCCTATAAAACGCAGGACCGAAGGTTTTTGCGTGGCTTTTTGTTGTTTATAATGCCTAACTAAACTACGTCAGTTTAGACGGGATATGGGTCTCCCCCTCTCCAGCTTGGAGGGGGCTGAGAGGTATGCTTTCACCATTGTTAGTAAATAAAAAAGATTATGTAGAAAAGGACTTCATTTTTCCTGTGTTGTGGACAATAAATCAAATAAATATCGGGGTTGTTGCCCTGGTATTTCAAACCGCGCAGGATACTGTGGCTTACGGAGGAAACTAGCTTAAAGGAGCCTGGCTGCAACATAGAAATTTTCCCCATCAGCAAACAACACCGGAAAAAAAGTTAACGATCAGAAGTAAGCGGATTCGAAAAACTCATTCATTCACCCACCCGGGGGAAAAATTGCTTCATCGGTGACCAAAAAAATATCTCCATTATGGAAAGACAGTGTGAGGGAAGGAAGGACGATTTTCCACCCTTACTATACCAGTTAGCGGCAGCAGTATAGCGGTACCAGTTCCGGTACATTCGCGGCTACTAGAATGCTGAAATTGATTAAGGTTTTTGTGTCACAGCCATGAAAACGTGTGGTGCCTTAAGTGGGAATAAACATTCCATTGTAGTGAGTCGGCACCGAGTGATAAAGAAAGTGTTATTGTGAAAACAAAATATAGAAAAAGAAACACCAATTATGTGCGCGATTTATATTAGAAAAATTAGAGGAGCCTTTGCTCCTTTAAGGAAAATTCCTTTATAGGAAAAAGATTTTATTTTCTCCTTCGAAGTGTGAAATAAGTGCGTATTTTTTTTACTACAAAAAATAAATCCCGTGCAAATCTGCATATTTTTTTTTCTCCTCAATAATGAATAATTTTTATTGCATATTTTAGTAATCTAAATTTTTTATTATTACGAATCTTTGAATGAGTAATTATAGTAGAATATGAAGTGCATTTTTGTGTTTATATTGTTATTTTTTATGATATAATAGTGTATTTATACGGCTTTTAAAATGTTTTTAAAAGAAATAGATGTGGTTCAAACGTCAATTGAAGTAGTGAAGGCAAACAAAATTAAGTTTTTTTTTAACTTTTATTTCCGGATGAATTATCACGTTTAAACCGTAACAAAATTCTAAATTTTTCAGAATTTTCTTTTGAACCTAACGATGATGAATTTTCAAACAAACTGAAAGAATTTTGTGATAATTTTAATTTTTCGGAATTAGTCAAAATTTCAGACATTCTAAATATTTCCAGTGAGGGAAATAAAAATGAAATCGCAAAACATATTTTAAATTGCTGGCCTTTTTACACTTTTTAATTATTCTATAAAACGCAGGACAGAAGGTTTTTGCGTGGCTTTTTGTGTTTTACGTGTGCTAACAAGAATCAGTCAGATTTGATGGGATCTGTGTGTCTCCCCCTCCAGCCATAGGGAGGGGCCGAAACGTCTGCCTTCAACATCTAATACTAAATAAAAAATCAGTGCAGAAAATAGTTTCTTCATTACTGTAATTTTGACAGTTATTACATAAAATATCGGGGCTTGGTCCCCACAGTTATTTCAATATAATATATATATA